TTTGCAGGGCCCCTTGTGAGGTCTGGCGAGGAATTATTGTTCTCTGTTTAATAAGAAAACCCTGCCCGAGAGGAGAAGAGTCTTGCCTTAAATGGCTTGCAAGGTGCACTGAGAACAGAAACAGGATGAGGCCCTGAAGCCAGGAAGGTTTTCCCCTCATGGATTAGTTGGACCATGGGCAAAGCCCAGTCACACAGTCTCTGGGATTTAGTGCTGCCTTTTTGGTCATTACCAGGTTCCTCCAACGCTCTTGCAGGGCCAGAATCGCAGCTGCCAACCTCAGTGGAGCTCGGCCAGGTTACGGCATCTGAGGACTTGGCCCGTTGTCTTCCTGGCTTCCTGCGCCCTGGTGCAAAGTTCATCCATGTCAATGGATCAAGCTTCTGCTGCTCTTGGCAGTGGCCCGTGGAGCTGAGCTGCAGAGCACTGTTGGCAAATACCAGCAGATTGCTAGGCAGGGAGAAGTCAGTTCCTTGGGAACGTCTGTGGCTGTGTTCAAGACCATATGCTAAATGTTTGCTATCTCCAGGGACAACCTGATTAAAATGGGTCTTTATCTTCGTCGAGGTGGCCCTTTGCCTGGAGCAGAGAACGCCAGTGCTTTAGTCAGGTTTGCCATGGCCTTTTCTGAGCCTCTGGCCCATCGTGCGTAGCGGTACTTTGCAAATGGAAACGCTGGTGGAACAACAGGCACTGATTTTGCCCAGGCGGCTTGTTTCAGGCAAGATCCACTTTGTGAGTACAGAGACCCAGCTTTTTAAAGATGTTTCGGCTGCACACCTCTGCTGGTTTTCTTCCAGACTGCAATCCTAGCCACGTTTTCAGGCTTGTGCGCAGGACGCTGTAGTGAGCTAGAGAAGCCCCGGATTCGGTTCTCGGCTCTGCCTCGAGCCCTGGCGTGACTGAGGAAGCCCCTCGGTCCTTCTGCTTTTCCTTTCACCTTTTGTCTGTGTCAATCAGCAACCGCCTTGCTATGCAGCGGCACTCGGTACAGCCGGGCCCGTGGCAGTGTTGGTAATAATAAGTAGCTTGTGTGCTAAGTGCAGCTGACCAGGTTTTACAAAATGTAAGGACTGGTTTTATCCCTGGTGTGACCAGAGTTTCTTAAAGATTGACACCGGGGATGTCTCTTCAGTCAGGAAAGAAAGGTCCTAGCTCTCATACAAAAATTGAACAAAATCAGGTTTTTCGCTGATCCTTAACCATTTCTTTTGAGTGGGGGCAGCCCAGATGTAAGCGTCCTATGTTTGTACAGTGCCTAGCGCAAGATGCTCCTGCAGCAATACAAGCAAACAAGCACAACAGCAGGAACAGCAGTACCGTGCATGGAAAAAAGCTGGAACAGATGATGATTGAAGGGCAGACTGAGCCATCTGGCTTTGTGGTCCAAACTGGAAAGCAGCAGCCATAGTGGGGAACTGAGCTGATTGTTACAGGTCTTTCCAATGGGCCTGCGGTCCTGGCTCACTCTGGGTCGGGGTCTGATGCCGCTGCCCCTATGGATGGAGCAACATTGTGCTCGATGTGCGGCCCCGTTGGTGGTAGGGTTGGTTGCTTCTCGGGCAGGCTATTTCCCATCTGGATAACAGTGTTGGTATCTGGTCCAACTGACTTGTATTTTCATATTGGGCTGGATCCAGAGACCATCAAAGTCAATGAAAAGACTCCTATTCACTTCAGCAGCCTTTGGATCAGACCCCAAATCTAATTGACTTCAGCGGTGTTCATGAAGCCAGAGGTCAGAACCGGGCTCTGAAGCACATGAGCTCATAGTCTTCTCTGCTGGGCTGGCTCCATCTCCTTGACTGTCAGTGAATTTTCCCCCGCTTCCCCACATGGTGAATACCACTCATTTCCATTGCTCTAGCTCAGCTGCAGTGCAGGAAAACTGCGCAATAATTAGGCAGCAGGTTCATTTCACAGCGACTTCAGATTTCTACCTAGGCAGGCAGTGTCCCTTGAAATTCCCCTAGAGATGGTGGTGCTAGGGAAGGTTGCCTTTGACACATGCCCACAATTTGCTGCCAAAAAAGGTGTACCTCTGAGACAGTCCCATTTCCAGGACCTGCTTCTGCCAGGTATTATGGGCTGGATTTCATTTTCCTTGATTCTCTGGGGAAAAGATCCTTAGCTGATGAAAATCGGTGGAGCAGTATTGACTTTTAAATGTCCTCAAAAGACACCCAGCTCTCTTTCTCCTGTATGAATGCTGTGTTGTTGAAATGCTTTTAAACAGTTTAAAAAATGTAACCTTCCCCAGGGTAGCCAGCCTGGGGAAGGACTTTGAGCTGGTGCCGAGCTCGCAGAACGTAGAAGCAGAGATTCAAACCCCCTAAAATGTGGGCCAGGACCAGGGCTGACGCTAAGGTCCATCTCCAGCGCTGAGTGGAGATATTTCAGTGCAGAGGCTGAGCAGAAATTTTCTACCTTTGCAGAAGTATTCTTTGATGCAAATGCTGAACCTATTCTGATTCCCAAGGAGCCAGATGTATACCTCCTAGCAGCATCTGAGAAGGTGCAGGTGACCCCGCAGGGTCCAATGGGCATCTCTCCGTTCACTTCCATGGCAGCTGGGTCAGGACCTGGAGGCAGAATTTGTTCCACTGTCTGTAATGGGAGAAGAACCGAGTTCCCTGGGTATGATTCCCTTCTCCCTTCCACCAGTGTAACTCAGCAGCATCTGACGTTGGTGGAGTGCCGTCAGCCTAAAGGGATGTACGCTGTTGTCTGCATCAGGCCCATTGTCCCGCTACAAATGCAGGGCTCGGGACACTATCCCCAGCTCTCTCTTCCCGTGCCGGTTTCCCTGACTAGCAGACCCATCCTGCAAAGCGCTCCTCTCTGCCCCCGCAAGCCAGCACGGGGCTTGCACAGAGAGGGGGAGCCAGCCAGGGAGATGGCTGCACGTCTAGCACTCGGGCAGCATCCTGCCCAGCGCCACTTTGTTCTCTGTCAGCTGTTACCTCAGAAAACCTTTTCGCAGGCATATGATAAAAAGCAGCATCAGAAAGAGGGATGCGCAGACCTGCCGCGACCGAGCACAGAAGATTCATTAAGGCATGTGTTGTCTTGGTTCGTGAGCTCCAGAGGTAGCCGCGTTTAATTTGGGAGCCTGCTAGACAGGTGCACAGAAGGCTGTTAAATGATAGGGGAGGGAGGGGGCGAAGGCAGGAGTGTATTAAATGGGCCACATCCCTCTGTTGCCATCTGCTTTATATTAGCGAGCCGGGCCCTCTCTGAAAAGACAAGGTCAGCCCAGAGCGGAGAGGATAAAGCCAGCCCCAGTAGGTAATTGCAACCCAGTTCCCAGGTTACCGGATGGGAGGGATGCAGTTTTCATCGCCCCGTAGGGCTGACTGTGCCGGGAGGTGAAGGGGTTTCATGAATACCCGTTGGCGGCGTTTGAAGTCCGGAGGTCACGCGCTCGTTCTGGCCTCGAGGGGCTTCACAGTGCCCCCGAGCGCCAGCTGAGCCATTGAAAAGCAACCGCTCCGAATGGGATTTGAGTTGCCGTGTCTCTGTTTCATCCCGCGGAGGTAATTGCCAGTGTGGGCTGTTTTGCAGCCACGGGGCCCGGCCACGGCTGTCAGATAAGCCAATGGGCTTTGTTGAAAGAAATATATTTACCCTTTCCCCTGCAGAATCTCCTTTGGGCCATATCCTGCTCTCAGTCCATGTCCTGACTCTGTATTCAGCATGGCCCTGACCCGGTGAAGCGCTTAGGCACGTGATAAAAGAGCAGTTAGTAGGTGCATGCTAATGTGCCTTGGGGGATAGGGACGTAAGGGCAGGAATTCGTCCCGTTGGTTCAGCATCTTTCAATGGAGTGAAAAGTGACTTCCCTGCTTTTCTTCCGAAGCCTCCCCTGGATATTAGGGACAGGTCCAGGGCTGAACTTCAGCAGTGGCACAGGGTGTTTGGACCAGGCCTGTGTTGATTAGCAGCTCTCTAGCATCAGGGAGGATGAGTCGCTGCTAATCATGGTTGGTACTTGACTCTCTGGTGCTGACACTGACATTGCATTTTCCACTGCTCAGTCCAGCAGCTTGGATGAATAGCCTTATCCCCATTTTACAGACGGGCAAGCTGAGGCACAGAGGGTCTAAGTGACTCACGCAGGTTCACAAAGCAATCAATTTAGTGGCAGAATTGGGAAGACACCTCAAAGGCCAGGTTCTCGCCCCTGTGTTTTATATGCTGGATCACGCTCCTTCCGCACGGGGCAGGATGCAAGGTGTCTGCTGAAGCTTCCTTCAGGACATTTAGCCATTCAAACCACGCGTTCCAGATTCCCACTTTATAACATTTATTATTGCAGCCACCCTTTCAGTCAGCCATTTGCAAAATGTACAAATGCTAAAATACAAGGCCATTGAAGGTAGGCTGGGCATTAGTTGACACTTCGGGTTTTTGTTGCTGCCGTTGTTGCTGTAACTTTAAAAACAGGCATTAATTTGCATAATTACATTTTGCAGCTGCTGGAGCTGCAAGTCCATAATGCGGGGTGTGCTTTGGGGCATTATTTTATGCATTGCAAACGGACCCAGAGACACTGAGCTGTGCTATCAGCTGCTTCTCCTTGTGCGGCAACTGCTGTTGATGTGTGTATATTGGTAAGTTTGGTTAGATCATCCTAAATGAGCCTAAGCTTGGGGTCACTACAATGCACATTAGCCCAGCAGACTGTGCAAGCTGTCTACGTTTCTGTCCCTGCTGGAACAGCAAATCATAGGCTTCTTTGCAAGTGCTTGTGTTTGGCTCAATCCCCTCGTCCTCGTTACTGGAAAGGGAGCTTTGGAGCAGGTGGTCGGGGGCCTCTGACAGTGGGGAGGGCTGGAGGACGCTGCTGGGGGCGCTGTATGAATCAGGTGGCTGGGATGCGTTCTGCACGTGGAAGTAGTGATCGCCCGTTTCTTCCACTTGCACTCGGAGCGATTGCTAGGGATTGCTCTGATTTCACAAGCCTTCCCTTTGTCTTTCCTTGCCCCGTCCCTGTCTAGGCCTCCTGTGGATGCCTCTGGGTGTAGCTTGCCTTTGGTGATGCCCCAGTTCACCTTCGCTTGCTTTTGCGGACTTCACGGCTTCTGCAAGATGAAGAGGAAAAAAGAAGAGCCCAGCGCAGAGCAGGAGACGTCCGTGTGAGCGGAAGGGAAGCCTCGCCCTGCGTGTACCATGCTCGTCCCTGTGTCACACCACGGGAGCCCAGCTCCGGCTTTCACTTGGTAGGATGCTTGTGCTCTTTAATTAGGTACCTACCCTGGAGGAAAAGTGGCTTCTGCTTGCTCTTCTCTGATCTCTGTAGGCATGAGCTCCCACCCAGATGGGTCCCCAACACATCCGTGCCCCTCTCTCCCCTGCTACATTGGTGACAGAGCTGTAAGTGGGAAGAAAACCATGCACATGCTAGGCCAGACGACCAGCCTGTTGATCTCCTAAGGGCCAGGCTGTCAGCACTCAAAGCTAGCAGCAGTCATGGTGTACCCTAGGACAGCCCGTCGTTGTCCCCTCAAGTGTGTGGGCCACATAAGAGGCTCCTGAATTGACACCTGCTTCTAGTTAATGGGGGTGCAGATCCGGAGTTTTGTTTCGAAGGTGTTCGGGTGCCTAAGACCTGGTAAAGTCAATAGAAAGTAGGTGCCTAAATGCCTGTAATTGGTTGGCCCTCAGTCCTGCAGGCTATGTGGTAGCAGCTCATGCTTTGAGCATTAAAGGCCTGGGTTTAAAGTGCCCTCCTAAAGTCCTGCATGCTCCACAGACTCCTGGACCTGAAAATAGTCCACAGCACTTGTTGGTCTCTAGCCAGGCTGCAGGCAGAGTGAATTAGTCCAGGTATGGTGCAGCGTGAATGCGGCTCCAGGCAACATTGTGCTGTGTCCTCTCAGCAGATGCTACCGGACAGTCTCTGGGGCCAGCCCAGGACTGATTTCTCCAATGCAGAGTCAATGCTTCACTCCCAGGGGGTCATTGGAGGTACTGGGACACAGCCCTGAAAAGCAGGACAGTCCTGGAAAGCTCAGGCGGGCTGGTCGCTTGCCCATACACAACACCTTTTGCAGCTGAGCAGATGCGGTTTCCTCCTCTTCCCCCTGTGAAACACTCCCACTGGCACAAGCAAGGGGAAGGCCGCTCCCTGGGAGACGCTGAGGTCCGGTTCCTGCGGTAAAGGGAAAGATGACCCGATTCCAGCCACAATCCTCTAACCACAGCACACGGCTCTCCTGAGACGCTGCAGCCACAGCTGGGGTGGGCAAGGGGAGAGGGAGTCTGGCTCCATACTCCCAAAGGGGCTAGCTTGTCCTGCGCAGCCCCCGTGCCGGGCCTGATGGATAAGCTCAGGAAGATGTCCCAGCAGGAGGAGGTGAGCCTGGGGTGTGAGCGATGGGCTTTCTCGGGACTGTCAGGTGCAGGCTGGGGAGATGCAGGGAGAGCTGCTTAATCTGCTCTAACATGCTTATCTTGCAGCTTCTCTCATTTTCTTTCTCTTCCATCTTTGTCCCTAGAGACTTGCCTGGCGAGGAAAATGCCGAAGCTCAGACATGACCTTAGAGAAGAGACGCGAGCAGGCATTATCCTGGGCGGCGTGCCGGTCCCACGCTGCCCGAGAGCCCGCGGCTGCGCCGGGAAGGGGGAACGGCCGCCCCTGTGCTGGGCTAACGAGCGCGCTGCCCTCATCCCACTCTAGTAAGTCCTCGTGGACACTTCCTGAAGGAGAGTTTAAAACCAAGGACCAAATCTTGCCCTCGGCTCCCCCGGTGTAACTGTAGAGCAGGATTGGGCTCCTGGTTTTAAATCGCCTCTTTGCTGACAATACAAACAAGCTGCCTTTCCCCCCGCTTTTACTTTAGTAACCCTCAAGCAAATGTCTGTGTCCATGAGCAGCCGGCCCCAGCGTCTCTGGGACATCGCACGCTCCAGCCGCCCGCGCTGAGAAGCCGTCCGGAGGTGCAAGGGCACCGGGCTCTGATTCTGCTCCCTCCAACTGTGCCAATCTGGAGTTTCTCTGATGAAATCTTTGGAGCAAGCCCGGTGTGGGACTCGCGCCCCTCCTGGGTGTATGCTAGTGGTTGTGCTGGATTTGCCCTTGGCCCTCTTTCTGTAATGGGCCAAAGCCCAAATCCCTGAATGCTGTAGGGAGGGGAGTTTGGAACCGGACCCGGCTCTGAGCTCGGGAGCTCACGCGCGTCTCTAGCATGTGCGTGCGTTCTCCAAAGCAGCGGCTTTCGGGTTTGTCCATACGATCACCCCTTTCCCAGCCTGGAGCCTTCTTCCAACCTGGCTGGGATCTGGATGGGGCCCTCTTCCTGTTTAGTGACATGGAAAAGGCAAGGACGGCCGTGCCCTCCTGAGGCTCGTTCCCCGCCTCCCCGAGGATCGGAGCCCCCAGGTAGAGGGCTCGTGCTGTGCCGTGATTTGTGTGGGGGGCGGTCTGGTCCAAAGCAAGTAGCTTTGTTCCTGGCATGGCCTCATCCTCTCCAGGGATAGCCATTAGCTCAACAGTGCTGCTGTGTCAAAGATTGCCCTTTTCCCCTGCCTGCCTGTCTGGACGTCCTTCCTACTTACTCTTGAAGCCATATGGAAACTCCCTGGGTGTCGTGCCTTTCAGGAAGCGTTGCAGACAGACTCCCTTCCCTGCCCCACCTAAAGGAGCCCCAGCATCTGTGCTAGGTGATCCCAGAAAGCAGGACTACTCCCTCCTCCTTGAGTCAAGGCCCTTGAGGTCAATGGGATCATTCCCTTTGATTCCGGTGAGCTCTAAATCGGGCCTTTGGACCTCCCGCAGAAAGGCTGTCAGGTGGTAATGCTGGAGGTGGGCTTGTTCCCACCCCCCCCTACTCCAACCCCCTCCTGGCCCTGAAAATCTAGATGCAAATTTTGTCACTCAGGCTCAGCACTACTTAATTCAGCATCCTTAACTCCTTGGCTGCCATCAGCAAAATGTATGCCCCGTGCAGCTGCTGGAGGTCTGGCCTCCCCTCCGTAGTGGCTCAGGGAGCATTCCCTAGCGAGGAGGGTCACAAATCATCTGGAGTGACAGCGGTGGCTGCTGCTGCTTTTGAGCACCGATGGCAGGTCCTGAGCTGAGCGTGTCACGGAGAGAGAGAGACAGAGACCGACGGTCAGCAAGGCAGGCTGCAGTGGAAGCTGTGGGGAGAGCAGGGCTCTCAGGCAGGGGAAATGCCTTGGCAGGTGAATGCTGCAACTGAAACGCTGTTTTATCCGATAAGGAGCAACAGGTCTGTCTATGAGTGTGAAGAGCCAGGGGCCAAATTTTGCTTTCACTCAACGCTGACTTGAAGCCAGACTAATACCACAGGTGTCCCTGCTGTTATCCGAGAGGCCAGCGACAAAAGCACCTGGCCTAGGGTCTCTGGCAGAAAGGCTTCACCATTCCCTCCCAGGAGATGGAGATAGGTGAAAAGTCAGGACCCAGCTCCTTGAATTGGGTATGAATTGGGTAGATTTGTTAACCATAGCGGAAGTGCACACTGATCCCAACTGAGGAGCTGGCCTCCAGAAAAATAAGATGTGCAAACTCGAAAACAGATCCTTCCCCAGCTGATTAAGCGCCATGACCTTTCCAGCACTTTAGCCCTGGCTACAAGGCCAGATTTGCACTTGCCAAATGGAGCTGTATATGCTGGTGACAAGCTGCCTTTTCAGGAAGAAGTGATAGCTTGGCTGGCAACCACAACAGACCTGGTAATTATTTTATTTTCTTATCTGACGGGTTTTGTGTGAAATTTCTGCCCAGCAAGAGTGAATAAAAGAGATGCAGGAGATCTCTGGGGATGTGTGAAACCAGGTGAGCTGCTGGGTTTTACATCATCTTAGCTGGGTGCCAGGAGTCAGGGTTGCTCTACAACTGACTGACTTCAAAGGTGTAGCTCCAAGAACATCTAGAGATAGAAAACAGCTGGGATCAGGCCATAGCGAGGGGTCAAACAGCACCTAACCTTGCTCAGTCGATCAGACTGGGAAGTTCACACGGCCAAAAGCACTTTTTCCCTGCTTGAGCCCGAGGAAGAGGTGCAAACAAGGTGCTGTTTTGTTTATGACTATAAAACCTCAAGCAGGTCTATCACCAAAAGTAACAGGGTAGCCCCACAGATGCTTCGTTCATAGATTCCCCCCCCCCTTAATGATGCTTGGCATGTCTGAGCCAGCTTACGATGGTGATCATTTTGCTACATCTGTAGGAGCCTAGCACCAAAAACAGTGGTTTGCTTTTCATCTCATTCCAGTCGTGGGGTACCATTCATCAGTAAAGACTGAGCCTGAAACTTTCAAAACTGCCTGGGAGAGAGAGACCCAAATCCTCTTGGCTTGGATACCTAAATCACCTAGGTGGTTTTAACAATGCTTATTATAGCCCCAATAAGGCAGCAAGGAAAATGATGCAAAAGATGAGCACAGAGACTGAACGCCTGCGGAAGCCGTTGTCCTAAGTGACCTTTGGCTGATGCACGGTAGCTGCTACTAGCAATAAAACATGATTTTTAATGAAAACCTGCAGCCCATATTCCAGATTGGGGCATGCCTGTGGGCTCCCAGGTGCTGCTGGGAGCCCAGTAATTGTAATCCAAGCCAACATACAGCTTGCACGGTGGGGAGTCTCCAGGCAGGAGCAAGTGTTTGGCTCCCAGGTTCAATGCTCACCATGCATTTTGCTCTAGGTTAGCAGGGCTCATCACTGCATGATTGTACAGCGCCGTGAGCAGTAGTTGCCCCGTGGACCCCAGAGATTATACCAGCCTTTTACCAACAGAGCAGGAGGAGTGCATTTGAGTGATCCCAGCGCTAACAACCTGTGTGTGTGTGGGCACAGCCTGGCTTCATCGCCGCTGTAGTCCTCCTAGCAGTTGATGAAGGTCAACTGACCTCAGATTCCTGGAGACCTTTTGGATTCCTTGGAGCTGACGTCAGAGGCAGAGGTTTTGGAGGTGATCACGCTCCTTTTCCATTCTTACTCGGGGGGGCCCTGGAAACTCAGCACATGAATGATTCCTTTGCAGGGCAGCGCGTTTTTAATTTTACTTAATGACGCACTAGGTAAACCCCCGAGTGTGTAACCTGGCTGCCGCGAGCCTTTGATTACGAAGCTGAGACGGCTTTGCGGTTGAAGTTCCAACATCGCTGCACGCTGGAGGCAGGCAAGGGGCTTTATGGACTGTATCCAGCTTAGCTAGGGGGTGAGTACCATGCTACTCAATTGATCTCCTTGACATGGAGCTCGTGCACAAACTGGGGGTTTCCTGTCTGTCACGGTTGGCCCAAAGTCTTGACTGGAATCTTTTTCTTCTTCTGCTCAAGTCTCTCCACCACATTTGACCATTTTGTTGCACATGCTTGTGCTCGTTTATTGTACATGTGCCTTCAAGCAGCAGGTGCTGCATAGTCTGCTCCGTGCCACAGTCACAGGTGCTTGAACCAACAGCATAGCCCTACTTCTTCAGTAGTTTGCTGGACCGTCCGACTCCGATACCTAGGCGGTCGAGACCTCGCCAGTTTTGCCATGGTTCACAGCCCTTGGTGGGTAGGCCTTGGCTGCTGGAATGTACATTTTTCACTGGAATATGGAGGGGGAATTTATCAGGATAATCTGGTAAAATTATGAAATGGATAGTCCTTTCTCCAGTGAGCAACTCCTAGCTAGATACTGATGTATGTAGTGTGTAAAACGTATAGTACCAGGCAGGCACTTTCCACCCTGCCATATATCTTTATCTTTGTGTGTGTGTGAGTGCGCATGATCTGAAAATGCAATAAATTACCCAAGTACAGTCTGAATGGGTACAAGTTCAAGCTGCAGTTATTTTTAAAGGGAACGTTCCCCATATGAGGAGAGCTAGATCTTGAAGTGCTAATATGTTATCCATGGAGGCTCTGAGCAAAATGATTTGCTCCCACGTTGACCTCTGTTGTGCTCATAAATGGCTCGTGGTGCTTTTTGATTCTCCCGTCGTAATGACTTGACCTCCAGATTTATGGCTGAAGGTTCCTTCATCTCCACATCATTTCCCAGCAGACTGCAGCCTGGCGCTTTTCTGTAGCAAACTTGTCAACAGTCTGATTTGCCAGGCAGTTTGCTCTTTGCTAACCGTCCGGGCTGAAAGTGGGTGCTGCCAACTATCTTCCACTTGACAAATTTGCAGTGGGCAAGAAGTTAGATTTTTTTTTTTCCAGTGGCGGCATTTTAATAGGGCACCGTATGCTTCCAAAACTGTGAAGGCTGGAAAGCTGACAGCTCTTGTCAAAGTACAAATGCTCGCTCCCTCTCTCCCACACACTTGCCCGACCCCTGGCATTTTTTAGCAGAACGGGTTTTTTTCCTTGTCCAGAATTCCCTCTGCCTCCAAACTTGAGCTGCCTCCTGCTTGATTACAGGCTTCCCCCCCCTTCCTTCCCCAGAGCTGGCTGCATTTCAGTGGTGCTCCAGAAAGACGAGTCTTATAAAGAATAAGTAATGATGATAAGAAATGTATAGAGAGCTGTTCCTCTATAGACATGAAAGAAAAGGTACATATATACCTCTGTCTTGGGTGAGCTGAAAACTCATCTTAAGCAAGCCCAGCTATGTGATGGGTTGCTTTACAAAGGAAGGGAAGCAACATTATTGTTGCTCCACAGAGAGGAAACTGAGGCACGGAGCAGGCAAACAACCTATTCAAAACCACCCCAGTATTTAGGGACAGAGGCAGTAAGAAATGGAGGCATCTTGACCATCAGTTGGCTTGGTGAGGTTCTTATGTAGCTTTAGGAGTGTATCTGATTTCTTTGTCTTTATTGCACAGTTGCTTCAATAGGCGTCCTAGCTACACTGGACTTTCTCTCTAAATTGCCCCTTACCCGCAGTGTAACTTCCCAGCACAGCGTCTGAGAGGGGT